CCTGCCTCTGCCTCCCGAGTGCTGGGATTAAAGGCGTGCGCCACCACTGCCCAGCTCATCACTGTTTTAACCTCTTATAATCTGACAGTATTTTTGGCAAGCAGCCTATGAAATGGACTATTTCATTAATTATATTGGCCTCTTCATCCACCAGTCTCTGGTGTGCTAAAACCAACTTGAAAGAAACTGGAGAAGGTTGCCTTGCCATCCTGTCTTTGGAATCTTGAAGATGACATCAACATTTTTGACATGGTAGCCCTGTTTCCTGATTTTTCTGTATTTTGCAGACAGAGGAGGAGGAGGGATAATGAAGACATTACAGTTTTTGAGCACTTGATGAGGCTTATATAAAATACAACTCTGCTTATAGTTGATGACACCTGGTTCCTCAATGTGTTCTGAATTCCCGAGTAACAAAGCCATTTGGCCTGAGTGGTATTTAAGTATAAATCATGCCTTTTTGTTTCACTTTGCCTTAAGAACATGATTTTCTATGGTACAAATATGGACAGCTATTAGAACTTCTGAAAAAAAATCCTTGAAAAACTGAAAGTATATGAAATAGATCTTTTGATCACAAAGCATAATGAAAGTTGTGACATTTAAAAACTAATCAGGTGAATTGAAATCACTGTAGCTGCAATTATCAGTATAAGACTTGCACAAGACTTGGCCCATCAGCATTTCACCACAGATTAGGGGAGGACCCTTGAGACTCGCCACTTCCAGAAAGACATTGACAATTAATCCTTATTGCAGGAGCTGCCAATAAGCTACCCTGCAACACTGTATAACTTTTCACCCATGCTCAGTCAAGTAACTAATTAAACTCAGTGGACCACATAGAAAGAAGTCATGGAAGGCCAGGTGTAGTGGCACACGCCTTTAATCCCAGCACTTGGGGGGCAGAGGCAGGTGGATCTCTGTGAGTTTGAGGTCAGCCTGGTCTACATAGTCACAGGACTGCCAGAACTTCACAGTGAGTCCCCGTCTCAAAACAAACCAATAACTGAGAAGTCATGAAAATAGGAGGTAGACTTGATGAGAAGAAAGGTGCTGGAGGGAGAGGGAGGGGGATAAGAGAAAAGAAGTCGGGTGTAGCGACTACAATTCATTATATAAATGTATGAAACTGGCAATGAAAACTGGAATAAAGAAATAAACACCATTTGAAGACACATGGTAGGTATCTGACTATATTGCTAGCTAAGCAATGCTAAATGAAGTCACTAAATTGAATGAAAATGATAATAGGAGGACACCCAGGCTTTCTTAAAAGGATGAAGAGGATTGAACATGTCACACATGGCGAACAGCTACAAAAGACTTTTTAAAACTCGTATTTAACAAGGAAAACTAGATGTACTTGACCATAAGAATACTGGTGCAGCTGTAGCAGTGATAACATTAGAGGGCTGTGCTTGTCACTGTTTTCATTTGTTTTGGGAAAAGCTCAATGGACTTGGCCACCACTTAGTCTAGACTTTCAAATTGTGCTGAGTAATCTTTGGGAAAGTCTTGAGTTCAGTGAGAAGTGACAATTGCATGAGAAATACCACATCGATTATTGGTTATTTCTTGATTTGTGAAGGTTTGGTCATGTGCTTGTTTTGTTTCACATCGAGGCTCATTAGCTACAAAGGGGAAATGTGGTTAGGAGTGAAAATTATTTCAGTATTTGAAAGTGGTAACTTGCAGTTGGTCTGGGTTTGGTAGGTCAACAGGAAACTTGGAATGTTTGTCATGAAGCCTTGACAAGGTAAGTGCTCTTAGAGAAGCAACAGGATCGGACTTGCTCCTCTTTCCCAGAGGCCGGCACAAAGGGAGACTAAGGAGTGCCAGCCTCAGTGAAAGGCTGGGCATGAGGTTTGCTGGGGGCTGGTTCCTACCAGTTCTCAAGAGATGGCAGTTCAATTTTCAGGAATGTTGTTAAGTTCACTGCTAAATACAGTAACCAATAAAACCCAAATTGTAAGTAGACATAACTAAACACATTATATACAAATCAGAAGTAACAAATAACATTCATTATTTTTGAATTATACTCTATGATTAGCTGTGTACTCAAGGTTAAAATGACATCTCTTACATATGCCATTTGTATGTTGGTTTGCTTCTGTATGACATCTCATGGTAGTGTAACTATACAAGTAGCTTGAAATTGCTCACTGTGGGTGTGCTTACACCATAGAAGGAGTATTTGCCTTTAGTCTGCATCCACTGGAGAGCTGACGGCTAAGTTTTCACCCTGATAGTGGCCCTAAGAAGTTCCCAATTGGACAGTATGATCTCTTCCTTGAAATCCTCAAGACTATCCAGTGAGCTCTGAAATCACAGGGTGTCTAGTTCTGAGGCTAGGGATGGAGTTAGGATGATAGGTCAAATGATGCAGGACTAGAAAATTACAACCTCATTTCCAGTACAGGAGAAAGGAGATTTGGAGGAGTGGTGGAAACTTGGGAAAACTTTCTATTTTTCAGGGGCTAAATGTTGGCTGGGAGGGTCTTGTTTGTTTCTGAGCTCCTAAATTTTAACGTTCATGTGAATACCAAGTTTAAGCTGTTATAATTTAACTAACTGCCATATTCTCACAATTTCTTATCAGGAAGTGGAGGTTCAGCTGAACATAGTGAAGGATGTGCTATTTAAGAAAGTTCAAGAGTTACAGAATGAGACAATGAAAGAGAAAGCCCTGGTATCAGAGATTGAAGGAACCAAGTCCTCCCTGAAACATCTTAACCAGCGGTTACACAAACTGGATTTTGAAACCTTGAAGCAGCAGGAAATAATGTACAGTCAGGTAGGTGCTTTTCTCTGTGAGTATCTTCTGTGAGGATTTGTAACGCCTGTGGTGGTCCAGTTACCCCAGTGCCTCAAGAAAATGAGGTGTTCTAGATATCCTAGATGGAGAGCAGATGAGAACAGCTGGCTACCATGCTAGGAACGCAGAGCCTTAAGTTATTGTTTTCAATCTAAAAGGAACAGGCCAGGGGACAGCCACTCCAGTGAGGGAGAAAGGACTGTGCTTTAAAGGAACCTGGAGCGGTGGGAGCCAGAAAAAACAAAAGAGGTCTGCAGACACGAGCATCTCCCCCCACCTTATCTCCACAATACAGAGGAAGGCTTTCCCCCTCAGTCTTGCCTACATACCCTTTCATGTTTGTGATCTATTTCTAAACGCCTCCCCCACACACCTTAATTTCTTAATCTGAAAATATTACTAGTTTTGCAATATCATAGATGCTAAAATAAAATTTAAAAAATTCACTATACATTGAGCTTTCCATGGTTACTGTGACAATTTTTTTTTAATCCTTTGAAAACTGTCCCTTGGGAATCCTCATGGATACAGATCCCATGATTTCCTAAGCTCCCCGAGGCACCGCGGTTGTTTCCTGATGATGCCTGTGTTGCTGTCCTGCACCCTGACTGCTGAGCAGTGTTGTTGCTCCCTTTAGTCTGGAAAGGATTTTATCCTAATTTTCTGAAGGACCAACTTGACTTTAATAACTAATGGTGCCCAGACCAAAGTTAAGAGTGCATGTGCTGCTTCTACATTTACACAGAGACGCTCATTTGTATACACTCACTAACTTCTTTTCTTAAAAATGATTAACAGGATTTTTACATTCAGCAAGTAGAACGCAGAATGTCACGGTTAAAGGGAGAAATTAATTCAGAGGAGAAACAAGCCCTTGAAGCAAAAATCGTTGAACTTAAGAAGACACTGGATGAGAAAAAATCCACACTTTCTCTTTTGGAATCGCAGATCAAGAAGCTCCATGTAACTCATCTTTTTTTTTTTTTTTTTTTTTACATGTTCCATATCCTGCTGAGTGTTCAACACATTCCTGTTGTGGTCAGTGATTGCCTAGCTACCCACACACATAGCAAATGCTTGTATTTCTACGCTTTCAGAATGTCGTGCCCCTCACTTGAGCTTTTACTTTATATAATGTTGCATTACATGTCTCTACCACATTGTTTTGCTTAACTCTTATAAATGCCTGGTAAAGAAGATGGTTACCATTCTAGGCAAAGACACTTGTTCAGGGTTACACAGTGAGTGCATGGAGAGGAAGGATTTAAACTCGGATCCATTTGACTTCAAAGCATCCTTACAGAGTACACTATTTAGGATATTGGCAAACTCCATTTTTTGCCACAGTAAAAATTGCTACCAGGAAGCTTTTCTTTTTTTTTCATAACTAATTTGTTCTCATGCAACTATGCACTTATAATGTTTGGAACAACTACAGTTAGAAGGGAGCACATTTCATCTTTAGGGATTTGATTATGCCTGTTGTAAACCTCTGTTGAAGTTTAAATGGTGGGAAAGGGCAAGGGAGGGGGATGCAACCTTAGCTGGTGAGCACTAAGTTGGAAAGACTGGTGATGAGTGGCCTCCAGTGGTCAAAAGTAGAATTGTTAGTTAGTTGAAGGCAAGACATTTATTTTACAATGAAGCTTTTTCATTGGAGTTCATAGTTTGTAGCTTGATGACATAGTTTTCAAGTGGTACCTTGATTTGCTGGAAAATATCACCGGCTTTGGGATCAGGCACAAGTTTTAATGTTAAGGTTACCTGACTACTGCTATTTTAACGTTCTTGAGCATAGTTTTCTAATTCACTAACAAGGGAAAAACAGAAGCAATTCGTGCCGAGTACACTCCACATGCGGTGCTGTTTTGACCATTTACAGTAGAACATGAGGACCTGAGTGTAGAGATAGGAGTGGGCTTTTTTAGCTGCGCTGTGTGGGGAGCCCCCAACGGTCTTTGGGTTCTTAACCAGCCCAGCTGCTCTTGTCACTATGAAGCTGGCTGGTGCACATGCCCATTCTGTTTCACACAAAAACTCACAGAAATGTAAGGAAATCGCAAGTTAATGCTGGCTAAACCACAGAGGATATGCTCTTCTCTGCAGTGGTCAAGCTGAGAGATTCTGTGAGAAAAGTCCCACTCCACTTGAGCTCTTACCTTCGAGAAGGGTTTTATTTATGATGTATGTGTGCAGGCATGCATGCCACTGTGTGTATGGTCTACCTGAGCCCAGAGCCATGCTATTAACCAAGGGTCCTTTGCTCTCTAGACCTGCAATGTTTTTGTTTTTGTTTTTTGTTTTTTAACCACCCAGCACTTGGTGCCCTGTAATGAGCTATTAGCAGGGTCCTTTCTCCTTGTGGGTGGTGATCACCTTGAAAACCAGGCTGAATTGGAACTGTACATAATACTTCTTGGAGTTATTGCTCTCAGGCTAATGCTGAAACATCCCAAATGGTAAAAATAACATTTCTGTGTGAATACATGTGGATATAAATAACACGAGGAGAGGTTGAAATTTTTAGCTGTCGTGTTGAAACATGACTTAATGCAAGGCATATCTATTATTGTCTGCAACTCATTCCATTGTTTTACACATATATTCCTTCCCCTTTTACAGAATGATCTCTATTTCATTAAGAAGTCAAACGGCAAAAATAATGACGAGAAACAGTCTCTCACGAATAAAATAAGTGAACTGCACCTTTTCGTTGACAGATCAGAGAAGGAACTGAACAAGGCTAGAGCTGCAAAACAGGTGAGCTGAATCTGCATATGAAGTAGGTAAGTCACACGCTTCCACAGGGATCACAGGAAAGGTAAAACAAGGAAGAAATTGAGGATAAGTCACACTCTTCCACAGGGATCATAGGAAAAGTAAAACAAGGAAGGAATTAAGGGTAAGTCACATGCTTCCACAGGGATCACAGGAAAGGTAAAACAAGGAATTGAGAAAATTATCCATAATAAACACTATATCCAAAATGAAGTGTTAATGTGTATTATTTCCTATTTTAGAAAATTGCCTCTATTATGTTTTACTCACAAATGTTTGATATATTACACGTTTCCTACAACATCAACTCCTCTTTAAGATGTAATTCTCCAGCATTTCCTACGGGACAGTTTATGAGCTTGCATAATCTATCTTGTGATCTGGGGCTGTTTATAATATATGTTAAGCGCTGTGGTCCAGTGTGTTGTCGAGTTGCTACTGTGTAATTAAGCTAACAATGAGCATGTTAGAAACTTTAAGCTGTTTTAAAGCCAAATTGTCCTCTAGATGGTTCCATTAATAATCTTTCACCAGCCATGTGTAACATTCTATTTATTTTACCAGCACTGTGGCTGGATCATGTTTCCTACTTGATGGACAAATATGGAATCTCAGTATTTTAGTTTGTACTTTTTATTTGGTAAAATTTTAATGCCATTTATTTAACGTTTAAAACATATCTAAAATTATATCATGTTCCATAATTTTTAATAGTCAGTTTTGATGGTTCATTTTCTTCCATTAAGGGATTTATATTTTGTTGTAAATTGTTATGTACAGTATTGCCAATACTTCCTCCACTTGCCTTTAAATTTTGAGTGTTTCTGACATGAATCATTTAACATTGTTTCAAGGGTTTTTACTCTATGTTTAGAAGCTTCTGCTAAGTCAGTCCAATGTTTGCTCTTTATACTGGGTTGCACTGATTTCATCTGTTGCATTGGTACTTCTCATTCATCAGGAGTATCTTTCTGGGCATGTGAGATGTAGTGATCTCATTCTTGCAAACTAAAAGCTGTCCTTGAGAAGCAGCCCGCTTTACACTCCAGGCTGTTTGCTCTGTGGTTTCATTGGAAAGTCAATCAATTTGTTGATTTCAATTAATACTCTACACATGACAGAATGATTTTAGACTATAGATGTATTTCTACACTATTTTGTGATAGCTATTTTGGAGCATAAAGTGTTTGTTTGTAGGACTTATATGTTCCCTGGGCATTACATTTCGATTGTAAGAATAACAGTGTATTCTAGTAAAGCTTGAACTTAAATTTGAATAAAAATGATTTGGAGCAGCCATAGCTCTCCACGCTGCCTTCTTTCCTGGCTAATGTCTTAGTCAGTGGTCTACCTGGGAAACGTTTTCAAGTTTGACTTTTACCACAATAAAAAATAAAAATACCTTGGTTTTGGTATAGAAATAATTACTCCAATAAATGAAAACTTTGTTGTTGGTAGGATTTGATGATCGAGGACAATCTTTTAAAGCTTGAGGTTAAACGCACCCGAGAAATGCTTTACAGCAAAGCAGAGGAAGTACTTTCCCTGGAGAAAAGGAAACAGCAGCTCAGCGCAGCAATGGAAGAAAGAGCTGAAGAAATTAAGGTGCACAAAGCGATGCTTGCCTCACAGATCAGATATGTTGACCAGCAGCGGCAAACTGTGAGGTAAGTATCAGTTTTTGTTTTTTCTGCTAAAGAACTTTGTAAAACAATGTCAGGGTGGTGTCAGGAGAGCCCCCTGCCCCAACAACACCCTTATGGTCCACCTTTCTCTGACTCATCTGAAAGGCTTTTGACTTCAATAGAAGACAGGATACACTGAGCCAGAGGTCTAGGTTGCTTCCTTTAGGCTAATCCTGTACCCTTGAGACTCATATCCCTAAGATGAGTAATCTATTTGGACTTATTTTTTTAATGCATGTGTATTCATGTATATGTATACGCAGGTGCATATGTATGTTCCTACATGTGGAGGCCACAGGACACTCAGGTGTCATCTCCAGGAATATCCTATCAGACAGGGTCTTTCACTGGCCTAGAGCTCACCAATTAGGCTGGTCTGACTGTCCAGTGAGCTTCAGTCACCATCTTCAGATTCTGGGGTCACTGGTTCCTGCTACTGTACTTGACACTTTTACATGGGTTCTAGAGTCAAGCTTGGGTCCTTATGCTTGCAAGACAAGCACTTTGCCAATTAAACTATCCCAGCCCTTGGAACTGAGTTTTGTATGATTTCTAAAAATGGTCTAGTAAAACGTTCCCCATATCTAACTCTATTAAGCTTACTGAAGCAATTTTCATGTAGAACATTTTACTATCACTTATGTGATTATTGCTATTTTTTATTGTTACTTCCTTTTAAAGCATGCCATTTTCGATTGGTTACTGGCATATACGAATATTACACAGTTAATTTCTATGTATTAAGTATTCAATATTCTTACTAAAGTTGTAACTTTAACGCAAATTTTCTGGGCATTCCATTCATATCACTTTTGAGTAATTGCTTCTTTCCAGCCTTTAAAGCTTTTTTCTTTACTGTACTTGCTAGCTCAATACTAAATAATGGTAATTACAGGTACCTTTGTCTTTGCCAGATCTCAAAGGGTGGGTTTCCTTATAATTCAAGGGCTTCTGTAATCTAATAAATCTATTTATTTTTTATGGTGCTGGGAATTGAAACAAGCTAACCTACACTCCCCAGTCCTGTTTTACCCTTCATCATGTTTAAAGAGCTAATCTAGTTTTACTTTTTGCTCAAATCTTGCTTCAATTTTATTTAACTGGAAATACACATTAACGTTTATATACTTTTCTGCATTTATTGACATCACATATTTCCTTTGATCTGTTAATTACAATGATCAGTTTATTGAAGTTAAGCCAACCTTATATTCCTGGAAGTAAATTTACCTTTTGTACACATTGGATTTTGATAGATGCATTTTAAACCTGTATGCAAATGACCCTTGGTTCTCTTTGCTCCTGTTACCAGGTTTTTACAGTGTGTGTTTCTTCATAAAATGATTTGTGTGTTCCTTACCTTTCTCTATTCTGGTTATTAAGTATGCAAATGAAGTTTTTCTCTTTATAGAATTTTCAAGACCTCACTGGTGAAGCCATTGGGGGCCTGAATATTTTAATGGGGGATGTTCAAACATTGATTCAATTTACTTATTATTTCAAAAATGTACTTGCTATTTCTATATGATTTAGTTTTTATAAATTTTATTTTCTTTGCAGAAGCAGCTCTTGCTGGGGCCATACTCCAGGAGTATATTTATTTTTGTTGCTCCATCTTGCCTTCCATTTTTTCATGAACTCATGAAAAGATTTTTTTCCCAAATGATTTTTTTTATCTTTGGTGTTTGTCTCTCTTTTAAAAAAAATATATTTTATTGTTTATTTTTGAGATTGGATATTGATAATAAGCTCAGGCTGGCCTTGTCCTCACAGTCCTGCATTAGCACTGAAGGTGTTTGCCACCATACCCAGCTCCTTTTCTTGTTTAGAAAGCTGGAAAGGTGAACTTCTGCTCAGTCTGCCATCTTTAGCTGATGAGAAAGTAAGTTATGATCACACAAGAATGAATACCTTAGGTCGTTGCAGGGAGTGAGTCAATCTACACCCTGCCATACAGATGTTAGCATTATTAGTGTAACTCCTGAACACAGCTCATAAGGTAAGTTTACTGAAAAAAAAGGAAAAAGTAACTAACATTTACAAATCTGATACCAAATGTTGGGAAATAGTTCATGAATTATTTTATTTTAATGCCTTGTAAAGAGAGGTACCTAACTCATGTTCTACTGTTTGAATAGCAAATTAAGAGGTCATATTTCCCTCCAGAGCAAAAATTAGGTGTGTTTATTTCCCACTTGAAAATATGTGGGATTCCTGAACTATAACACAAACCTGTGGTATCTACCTGGGCCCCTTCTTGTCTTCATGAGATGTGGGAGCAAGCCATGGAGACAGGAAGCTCCTATCTCCTCCTATGTCATGAACGATAACACCCTTCATCTCTGTTACATGTCTCATGTCTTCTGCTAGAATCCATGGAGCTATGACAAGTCAACTTCACACAGAATTATTAAAATAGGGGAGCACTTAACCTGCTTGAGTACAGCACAGTAACAATACAAGTGCAAAGCTCTTCAATAAAAACACTAATTTTAATTTCTTTGTTTTCACATTAGTGCTGAGTTTCATGAACGGCTAAGTAAAATTGATAAGCTTAAGAACAGATATGAAATTCTTACTGTTGTTATGCTGCCTCCTGAAGGAGAAGAGGAGAAAACACAGGCCTATTATGTAATAAAGGTAACATTTCCCTGATGTACATTTATGATTGCATGAAATACACATATATACATATACTCACACTTCACATCTCAGATATACAATGTATTTTCTCTGTAACTAAAATTAGTCTAGCTTTTATCAGAAATTATTCATAGCCAGAAATAGAGAAAAGCAGTGTCATGTTTGTGAGGTTGTCAGTTCTGTTGGATTGAGGCCCACCATAGTGACCTCATCTTGCCATCTGCAAAGGCCTGACTTCTCCTGAATGAGGTCACACTAAGTTACTAGGTGTTGGGACCTCAGCACATTGGCCACAGTAGCTCCTGGTATTGGTCCTGCAGTAGCCTTTGGCTGATGTATAGGGCATACCAGGTTGTTTTCCATATTTCATCTTTAATGTCTGTTTCTGTTTAAAAGCAAAACTGGAAAACATACCAAAGAGCTATCACTCTTCATATTTCATTCCCAAGATGCTCAGTCTTGATAAGCTAACAGTCTTGTTCTGACCAAACTGGAGTGATACTGTCCAATAAAGCTATTTTAAAAAGCTGTGATATTAAAGTTATATTTCAAAATACAAACTTTCCAACACCAAATAAATGTACATTTTATATATTCGTACAAAATATGATTTACCAACAGAGAGAGTAAACAACTATTTTAGGATTTAAAGGCACACCTAGAATTAAGTCAGGAATTTTTAAAGGATGAACAAATCAAACTAATTTGATAGATTTTGGGGAAATAACTGGGTCCTGAGGATACTAACCTCATCAGTGGATTAATCCATTGATATTTAATTTAGTGGAATTACTGGGAGGTAGTAGGGCTAGCTAGAGGAAGTAGGCCACTGGAGGCATTCCTAGCTTAGGTTTATCTTGCTCCTTTGCTTCCTGGCTAGCATGAAGTGAGCAGCTAGGGCTTAACCACAGATACCCTGTCCTGCTTTACTGCAGTCCAGAAACAGGACCAAGTGAAGGGACAAAGCCTCGGGACTGAGCAAAAATGCACGTTTACTTCTTTATGCCAAGTATTTTGCCAGTGACAGCTGACAAGTAATATTTGTTACAAAAGTATGTGTAACTCATATTTTGAAACATAATAAAAATGCCAGTCCAAATGTAAAGAATGGGGGCTGGAGAAACGACTCAGTGGTGAAGACCATGTATTTTTGCAGAGGACCAGAGTTTAATTCCCTCATCAGGCAGCTTACAACTGCTTGTAACTCCAGCTCCAGGGACATTCCTAATGTCAGGCACACGCACATATGCAGACACATACACATAAATAATTAATATATTAAACAGCTTTCCCATCAACGTGGTTTAAAATATCTAGTGACTGAATACGATTCTGATTAAAAAAGGGGGCTTTACAGCAAGCAGCCTTTAATATATACTGATGCTATTTTGTCAACCTCAGAGTTCTTTGGAATTGTAGAGAATTTTGAAGGAGCCCATCATAAAAGTTACCTTTGTAAAAGTGCATCATGTAGGAAATTTGGATTTTTAAAGCAATTTACAGGACTTCATGTTTCCTAGCTACATTTATTACAAGCATTACCATCATTTGTACAGTTATCAACATTAAAAAAAAAGTTTTTCTTTATGTGTAGGTATGTGTGTCTACATGTGAGTGCAGGTACCCGAGGCCAGAGATGTCAGATCTATTTGAACTGGAGTTACAGGTGGCTTTGAACTGCCTGATATAGGTACTGGGAACCAGACTTGGATTCTCTGGAAGAGCAGCAAGTACTCTTAACTGCTGAGCCACCTCTCAGGCTCCAAAGTTATCTTTTAAATTATAATAACATATATTAGAAAATATACCCACATTGTGTTTCTGAGTATACTCTGGTCACCTTTTACCCTTATCTGAATCAAAGTAGAATCCAGTTCCCAAACCTTTCTCAGACCAAAATATCCTTCTGATTCATAGTTTCAAGACCTTCTTTGAGTCACCCCATTTATCTCTTGCTTAGCTACCCCTCTCATCCCCCACCCTTCTTCCTGCACTGGCTACATTTCCACCATGGTTTTGTACCATATATATATATATATATATATATATATATATACACACACACACACACACACACACATAAACTGTATTTTGCTGACTAAGGATTAGGTCTTGTGTTTGAAACTGAGTGCAAGAAGTAAGTATATGCAGGCCCTAAGGTAAGTAGAGATGGCTGTGAGTTAACTGTTCTCTGCTTCAATGCCAGATCCTGATAAATGACATCAGTATTATTCTGTACTTTATAGGCTGCTCAAGAAAAGGAAGAACTTCAAAGGGAAGGTGACAGCTTAGATGCTAAAATCAACAAAGCTGAAAAAGAAATCTATGCTCTGCAGAACACCTTGCAAGTACTGAACAGCTGCAACAACAATTATAAGCAATCTTTCAAAAAAGTGACTCCATCAAGTAGGTAGCAGTCATTACAACACGTGATGAGACTACAGTTAAATGAATGTGGAGGAGGAATATTATAATTCATGGAGAATAAAATGTGCCATGATTGAGCCTAAAAAACAAACAAAAAAACCCAATTGTTCATCTCCCTGAATGTTTTAATCAGTATGAGGTGATTTATATCATTAGTTTTATTGGTATATGGCATATCTCTTCTTTAGGAATTCGTTTTGAATCTGAAAAATAGATATTGCTGTTGTATGCTTACTAAATAAGAAATGTCTACTACATATCTATCCTGTTTTTCATATGGATCTAAGACATTTAACCTTTCGTAACAAAAAAGGTAGTTGTTTGTTACTATATATATATATAGGCTTTCTATATATTACACTGGAAATTAAAATTCTCTTGTAGGTGATGAGTATGGATTAAAAATTCAATTAGAAGAACAAAAAAGGGCCGCGGAAGAGAAATACAGATACAAACAAAGGCAAATCAGAGAAATTCAAGAAGATATCCAGGTGAATTTTACAGGTTTTTTAGTAATTAGCCCTAAATAAAGGTCAACTATCATTATTACTACTTAACTCTTCTACAAAGAGCCCCTTTGGGGAAACAAACCACAAAAGACATAAGCCTCATATAAAGGAAAACAAGTGAAGGAAACATGGAGTCAGTCAGTTAAAATCCTATTGCTGGGTACCAATAACTTTATTAGTTATCAACCACAGCTGGACAGTTAAGAGTTCTCCAACAACCATTACTCAGTGACCTCACTGAATTCCTTAAGGAGCACATTAAGATTGTAAACACAAGATTTAAAACTGAAGATCTAGGGTAAGTAGACACTAGGGCAAACCCCGGAAAGACAAGAACATGCTTTGTTATGTAGGCTCTAACTTAGGGAACACATGACACAAACTGTGAATCTTTAAAAACTGGATAATTTCAAGTAACTTTATAGTTTTTCCAATGCTATAAAAAGTTCCCAGTTAGCCAGGCGGTGGTGGCGCACGCCTTTAATCCCAGCACTTGGGAGGCAGAGGCAGGCGGATCTCTGTGAGTTCGAGGCCAGCCTGGTCTACAAAGTGAGTTCCAGGAAAGGCACAAAACTACACAGAGAAACCCTG